ACACTAGCAAGGGATGCGGTAGCTCAGTGGCTAAAATGCTGAGCTTGTCAATCAGAAAGTTCGGTGGTTCGAATCCCTAGCACTGCATAATGGAGTGAGCTCCTGTTACTTGTCCCAGCTTCTGCCAACCTAGCAATTCAAAAGCATATAAAAATGCAAGTAGAGAAATAGGAACCACAGCGTTCCATGCACCTTTGGCGCTTTGTCATGCCGGAGATGTGACCACGGAGATGTCTTCGGACAGCGCTGGCTCTTCGGCTTGAAACAGAGATAAGCACTGCCCCCTAGGGTCGGGAACGACTAACACATATGTGCGAGGGGAGCTTACCCTATCATTGATGATGTTACCTAGCTTGGATAATGAAATGTCTGCAAGAAAACCAAGTGTTTGTACCCCCAAGTACACCAAAGTACACCAAAGACCCCTCAGCTACAAAAACACTAATGCCAGTCAAACTGTTTTATGCAAAGATACAAAAAGAAATTTAAACAAAATCTTTGCTTTTAAATTATGATTGCTTTTTTAAAGGCAGTGTGCACGTAGTCATGCTAAATCTAGTTCTGAGCCCTCAGATGTCTGCAAATTGTTTGAAAAGACTGATTAGCTAACAAAGTCTTTGACCCAGAATTTATCATTCAGTCTGTTCCAGGGGGTGCAAAATAATTCTGTGCTGGAGTAAAGGAACACTTGTAAGATCCAGAATACCAAGTAAGTTGATGGATAAGCTGGCAGTGGTACAGATTGTCAGAGGCATACTGTAACAAGGACAGTGTGGGTACATCATCATCCTCGTATTACACACCCAGAGAATGGTGTGTAATTAGACAAATGAGCTTATGTAGCCCCAGTGGTATCATAAAATGTATCTTCCCACAGCAAGCTGCATTTTGTAAAAAGCCCAAAGCATCAAACTTGGCTTGTACCTGTACATCCTGGCAAGAATCCAATATTTATCCCATTTTGTATTGCAAGGAAATGGAGTCCTTGGGGTTGAAGAGAACAGCTGCTTTAATTACAAGATCCTGCTATGTCAAGTTGAAGTTTTCAGTGTCTTGTGCAAAACTCTAGACTTATCCACCAAGGGTTCGTTTCTATCAGGTTTCATTTGTATGATGGATAAATCTATGAATGAATTATTTAGCAAATTATCTGTTTCAGGTGTCATGACAAAAGAATCTTTTGTCTTTGCTGCATGAGAAAGTACAACGTGCATTCTTAATTAATTCAGTTTGTCAACTCTCAGTTGTCTTTTTTTTTTTTTCTAATGTACCGATGACAGCAGATGGCTTTAGGGGAGAAAACTTTTAAGCGGCTTCTTATTCCTTAGCTGGAGCTTCCCTATATATCAGGAATTTTTACATTGGGGCATAGTGTACAAAGTTATGGAATTTGGGGCTACACACAGAAAAAAAGATTGATTATTGGCTTTTCTTATCTGCCTAAAGCCAGGCACTTATCCTCCATCCCTGGTTCTTTTGATCAAAGTGGCTGTTTGTCAAAATCATTTGTCCTGAATAGCAATGGAGAAGCACTCCTTTGAATAGGTGCACTTATTGGATGGGAAAAGGAAATTTATTCTCATTTCTCTCAAGTGAGGTTAACAAAGGATGGAGGGGGGATGTAGAGGGAATAATTGCATAAGAAATTAACCCTCCTGTTCATCCACATGATCACAACAGTGGTGACTCAGAAGAGAAGTGAAAAGTGAGACTCAGTGGGACAGGCAATCTTGTTGTTTGCTGAGTATCCATGGACTTTCACAACTGCCATGGCCCATCCAACTTTAACATGCAACACATCTGCTACACACACACGTTATGCAGACTGAGTCTTCACTGAAGACAGTCATCCCATAACTATATTTTAAGAGCAGGCAACCAGCTGAAAAACACACTTTCAATGTAATTCAGATACACCTGCAATACATTTAGGATGAGACACCTGAAATGTAGTTAAAGCAATGCAGATTTTGGGAGCCAAGATTGCACTATGAGGACCTGTTTAAAAATCTGCTTCGTTTGTCCAAGCGTTCTGTGAATTCTGGGCAGCAAATAAGAGAGCAGCTTGTTTTCATTTCTTTGTCCTGAGATAATTGCAAGATTAAGCATAACGTGTGAAGTTCCACAGTTACTGATTATCTAATGACCGACCCATTTGTTCTTCAACAGATGCCATGCTTTTGGTAGCTGACAGACTAGAGGGACCATTCAACATTGAGTCAGTTATGGATCCCATTGATGTCAAAATTTCTGAAGCCATAATGAACATGCAAGAAAACAGTGTGCATGTGACTGGAAAGGTATCCATTTTTGCTATTAAATGTTTGGAATAGATAGCAAATCAGAAGGCTGTGTTGCATTCATGTTCCTTTTTCTTGATAATTTGAAAACCGTCTATGTACATTTCTAGGACCGCAATCACTTTCATAGCATCACAGAGTATAATGTTGGTTTTGTCATCACATAGACCAACTAGCACCCTGACCAGGGGTGAAAGGCTCTGAAATCTGCTACCAGTTTGCTTCACGTGTACACTGCAGGCACTAAGAAGCCTTTTCTGAGTTTGCAAAGGTAAGTAGAACAGCGAAAGGGGGGGGAACAGCTGTGCTGCACGATTTAGATTCTCTAGAAAGCAGGATTTCCTGCTTTCTAGCAAATATAAATCATGTAGCACAGCTGATTGTTGCACAGCTGATCATCAGCACTTTTTTTTTACTTTTTTAATGCATTTTTCCCCTCCTTCGGGTGAACTGGTAGTTAAAAAAATGCTTTAAAAAGCTAAAAGAAAAATGTTCTGATGATCAGCTGTGCAACAATCAGCTGTGCCAC